TCACACACTGCCAGACTGGCAGCTTTCCTTTTTAATTTTCAAGAATCTCAAACACATGGGAAAACGCTGAGACTACGAAACGCCCACAATCACAGTTCTGTTTGGCGGATGTCCATCTTCTGCTGCAGATATTATTTATTTTTTAAAGAGAGCTGAATTAAATGACAACAAATCAGTTTAAAGTGCCCATTTCAGGGCGTTCAGTACATTCACAATGCTGTGCAGCCACCCCCACCCCAGTCTCGAAACCTTCTCATCCCCTCAGAAGAATACCCATTCCCCGGCCCAACGCCTGGGCATTCATCGTCTCCTGTCCGGATTTCCTGTCTGGGTGTTTCACGTCAAAGGAGCCCCACGGGACCGCTTGTGTCCGGCTGCTTTCACTCGGTGGGATGTTTGTGAGGCTCATCCAGGTCGTAGCACATATCAGGCCGTCAGTCCTTTTCATGGCTGAAAACAACCCAGTGTATAAAAACAGTTTTTTTAAGTCCAATTTATTTCTATTTTTCTTTTGTTGTTGATGCTTTTGGTGTCAAATCTAAGAACCCATGGCCTTCTCTGAGGTCAATATCAATGAACTCTTTACCCCGAGGTTTTCTCATAATAGTATTAGCTCTTATATTTAAGCTGTTGATCCATTTTGAGTTACTTTCTGCACATGGAATGACGTAGGGTCCAACTTTGCTTTTTGGCATGTGATTATCCAATTGCCCCAGCACCTTCCACTGAAGAGAATATTTTTCCCCATGGACTGGATTTTCATCCTTGTTGAAAATCAATTAGCCACAGATGTTTGCGTTTATGTCTAGACCCTCAATTCCAGGCCATTGGTCTCTATGTCTATCCTTATCCCAGTACCACAATGCGTTGATTACTGTCGCTTTTAATGAATTTTTGAAATTGGGAAGTGTGAGTTCTCCAACTTTGTTCTTGTTTTTCAATACTGTTTTGGCTATTCCAGGCCTCTGGCAATTCTGTATCAATTTGAGGGACAGCATTTCCACTACTGCACAAAAGGCCACTGGGATTCTGA